AACGACTCAACCTGCTGTTTCTCGCCAACATTCACCGCCAGATCCGAGTTCTCGTGTAACACGTTCGGCATCTCGGCAAGAATCTCTGCGTGTTCAAACTAATATCTCTTCCAGGCGGGCTTCAGTTAGACAAGCTGCACGAAGAGAGAAAATTCTACAACAAAACCGAATACGAAACACCCAACAAAGTCCAGGACGTTGGTTTCCGGATTGGAGCAGCTACACGTGCGCTGAAAATCGGGGGAAAATACGGAAGAAAATAATTGATGATCGATACAGCAGGATGGATTCTCACGAAAATGAGAGGAACACCGGGGAAATAACGAAGAAAAAAATTGATGACTTCGATGCAGCGGGACGGGTGATCACGAAAATCACAACTGCTGAAGAAAGTTCACCAGATAGAACGCAGACTGGACATACATACCCCAACGATGGCGCCGCTGCCGAGGGTGGCGTTCTTGTACTTCGACCCGTCAGATGTCTTGGCCCCGGCGCACAACCTCCACACGGCGTGTATGTTCAGCCACTCTGTCTTGAAAGCATAACCACCGCCGTCAATTCAATAAGTAAGTCAAATTTCGCCGAGGAGTTACGAGCTGATTGTATAGGAAAGAGCAGGACAATAAGGCGCATGAAGGTATTAGATAATACACCATCGCCCATGACCGTATAACGTGTGTTAAAGATTCGTTTAAGTTTGCACCTGCGCCGATAATCGTTATTGAATCTGGGCAAAGTACATAGAGATAAAGCGATTCTGCGACACACTGGTACATCTACTACGAAGTCTTTTTATGCGTGGCTCACCGTCGCGGCCTTGATCGGTCTTTTTGCCGGATAGAACACCGAGAGACGGTGTTCCTCCCACAGCGGATAAACACAAGTCGCAGCTCGCAGGGTTGGGTCCGCGCGCGCTCAACAGCGAGCACGAGACCTGGCAGGTCTCCGGGTCCTGGGAGTCCTTCTGGTCGCACGGCGAAAAAAAGCCGCCCTTGTTCTCGGGAACCTGCTTAAGTACAAGCTGGTCTGACCAAGAAGCTAACTTTCGTTCTTTCATGTCCCACTCTGCTGTTTCAACGAATTTAGACTTCAAATTTGGCGGGTGCTCGTATAAGACCATAGGGGATGCGCAGGTGCCGGAATTTTTCGGATCTAAGTTGATTTTAGGTATATAACTATCAATTGGCGGCATAGTTGGGATACTTCCTGTACTGAAATCAGCATAAAAAAAAGTTTCTCAGATCAAGCTGAAAATTGCTGTGCATGTACCTGGGAACATGGCGAGAGCAAAGATGGTAGTTTCAAGGCTCACGGCATCTTCCATCAGAAGTTATGGCCTATTAAAGAATCCGATACAACACACGAGATACCTGAGGCAACGTAAGGATCTCGCGATTCCCACGCTGGTTTTTCGAATTAGAAGCTGAAATTTCGACACGGCATCCCCATGAGTACAACAAACAAATAAGCCACTGCGCCATTTGACTTTTTTCTTTTTTTCTGCGACTTTTTGGCATAGCAAATATTCCCATGAATACTAATATCAGCCTAACTTACGAAA